TAGGCCATGTGAATGTAGCTCCATGAAAAGGTAAGCTTGCCAGGGATGTAGAGCCCAAGTCAGACTAAACTGCATCCGAGTCTCCAGAATGTCCCAGCAGCCATGCCAGGGGCTTCTCAGGAAGCCAGACCAGCCGTGGCAGAGGGGGTCAAGCCCCAGGACTCCTGGCTCAGTGCTCCTTTTCCTGCCTCATGTCCCCTCTTGTCCATGCCTCAGGATCAGGCCACCACTTGCTGATCTTGAGAGAAATTCAGTCCTGGGTGTGCAGCGCCCCAAGGGGTGTAGGGATGAATGTGTAAACCAGTGTCGTTGCTGGGGAGGCACCACAGTGCTCTTTGTGGAGGTGGACGGTGTTCTTCACAACCCTTCCTGCCAAGGAACATGCCAAGCTGTCCTTGACTCATCCAGGTCATCGAGGTCCCTTGACTTGAGTTACCCTGGGTAACATTGTCGTGTCCCTTGTTAGCCTGAGAGGATCATCTGCCTTGTCATAGTGATTCAGACCTGGCCTCTGTCCACAGAGGGTCTAAGAGGAAAAGGAGCAGCCATGCAGAGAGGTGTGACGGACCTTCAGAAACAGGCCCGGCCTGGGTTGGCAACAGGAGGTTACCCTCCATCTATGGGCTAGCGGGTGGTGAAGGCTCCAGAACATTCTGCACAGCTGGCTTACCTGGATGCCAGCTCACCTGGATGCCAGTTGGATTGCCTTTGGTTTGAGCCCAGCGCTCAAAGGACACGCACCAATGTAAAATGGTTGGGGGCACCTGCGGGGGGAGGGGGCTCTTGAGTGGCCACTGGAGCAGGGGTCGCAGATGGACTCTGTAGTCAACCTCAGGAGCCTGAGTCTCTGATAGAAGAGTATGCTAGGCTACAGATCTCATCTTCTCCAGGCTAGGAACTTTCCCTGCCGTCTTTGCTCAGAGACAGAACAAAACCATGTCTGGATCATTGGACCCCAAGGGACAGCTGCACTGTAGAGGCCTGCATCTCACTGTGCATTCTGGCCCTAGTCCCCTCTGAAATACATTCCAGAGTGCCTTCCACTCTGCAAGAAGTGTCAGAAGATTGTGCTGTGAGCACTCAGCAATGCCTGTTCCCAGAGCACTGCGGCTGTTCCTTCCAAAGAGACAGTCTGTGATGGGGGCCAGGCCAAAGCCCAAGGTGACTGGGAGGGAGAATGGGCCCAGCTCCCTGGATGCCATCTGGTTCTAGTCCCCTTGTCAGCTGCCCACCCAAGCCAAGAGGCCTTGGCACACTTCCCACGTGCCTCCCACGCACCTGAGGCTAGCATGAAGCACTTGTGTGTGGTGAGGAGCTGAGGCCTGGAGTGGGCTTCACAGCCTGGCTCTAGCTCCAGATGTTTCCTGTGTGTTCTGCTCACGCTCTGAACACCCTTCCCAGATGCTGCCAGATCCCAGAGGTACAGGGACGCTCATGCATTCCTGCAGTGCCCAAAACAGGACTGTCAAGGCCCTAAGGTTCATGGCATGAAGCCCTGAGTACCAGGAGGGGGTGTTGCTTCTCAGGCAGGATGGATTTAAAGATAAGGATTAACAGAGAGAAGAAAAGGGGAGCGGCAGGCAGCCACAAGGGCAGAAAATGTATATTTTTTTTTTCAAGGACCTGTTTGCATGTTGTGGGATTCTCCACTCTGCAAATATTGTTCACATTGGTTTTTCACTTTTATCCTGGTAGTGGCGTTGAATGCAGTCAGGACTACTGGACCCCATGGCCACTGGTTTTCAGTAGGCTGTCCCAAGTTCCACGGAAGTCCGTAGACTTGGTCTGCTTGGCCTCTCTTTCACGCTAACATTTACAGGAGTTTCCGTTGGTGCCTGCTAAAGAAAGAGGCCAACCATTGTAGCCACCATGCTTCCCCCAAACCCAGGCCCCTGGTCCACGGGGCAGGAGCAGGGGTTTCAGCATGGCCTGATGGGTACTTGGTTTGCTAACCAGCCTCACTGTTGCCACGACAACAGCATAGCAACATTGACAGCAGGAGCTCAGATTGGGAGACATGGCCAGGACAGCAGGAGGACCAGGGTTCTAATCCCACCACGCTATCCCCATCCCTGAGTATACCAGGGCAGCTTTGCTTCTCTCTGGACTGGATTTTCATCACTGACAGAAGGAATTTGAATAGTTTGATCATGGAGGTCCCATGAATAATTACTGAGACAGAGATAGGCAGCATATATATTTTTAAATTATATTTATTAATTTATTTATTTTTATGTGTGTTGGTGTTTATCCTGCATTTGTATCTGTGTAAGGGTGTCAGATCCCCTGGAACTTGAGTTACAGACAGTTGTGAGCTGCCATGTAGGTGCTGGGAATTGAACCCTGGTCCTTTGGAAGAGCAGTCAGTGTTCTTAACCGCTGAGCCATCTCTCCAGTGCTGACAGGCAGTATTTTAATCATTTGTTTCCAACATTTGCCTCAACATCATATCATCATCATCATCATCATCATCATCATCATCATCATCATCGCCATCATCTTGGAGACAGGGTGTCCAAGCTGTGTAGCCCTGGCTGTCCTAGAACTTTTTATGTAGACCAGGCTGGCCTTGAACTCACAGAGATCCACCTGACTCTGCCTCTCTGGTGCTGGGGTGAAAGGCGTGCGCCACCACACCCAGGTCAGACATTATATTTGAAGAGGAACGATGGAAGCAGACGGCCCTGAGGTCCCCATGTGCCTTTCAGGGTGGCTGTTTCACGCCATGTCCATTAGTGCAAACACACAGCGCCCGCTCTGCTGGCAGTCATGGCCTGCACTGACAGCTCTCACTCCAGAAGAGGCCTTGAGTTGGGAAGTCATAACGTGCCTGCCGAGCTGGTGTGGCTTCCTGAAGATGGAAGGAGATGCTCTTAGCATGAGCCTGTCTCTGGGGATAGCAGAGAGTGGCCACACCCAAGGAGTGTCTGGAAGGTGTGGAACCTGCTGCCTTCTCTAGATGCTCCAGCCTTGTCCATGCATGTGGTCGTGTGTGTGTGTGTGTGTGTGTGTGTGTGTGTGTGTGTGTGTGTATGTGTGCGTGTGTGTGCACGCGCGCAACACATGGAACAAGGAGCTCAGCCCTGAAGCTGAGCTCTAGTATTCAGTCCATGCTCCTGCCTGTACTAACCAGGTAATTGAGGCCCCTAACGCTTACCTCCTACCTCAGCTTTGCATCTCAAGGGGCTGGGGATTTCCTAAGGACTTGCCCAGTGCCTGGAACATACACGAACAGTAGCCCTGATTGTCATTAGTATGTAGGTGACAAGTAACTGCTTTCTCTCCGTCCTTCCCAACCAGCTGGAGACCCCAGAGGTGAAAGCTCTACAGGACAGGCTTGCAGCCACCAACCTGAAGATGAGCGACCTACGCAACCAGATCCAGTCTGCAAAGCAGGAACTCCGTATGGCCCAGAAGGTCTTCAGAGTCAGGGTGTGGGACTTCTTATGTGGCCAGGGTTGGTCCCAGGAGAATCCTGATGGCCCCTTCTTCCAAAGCCAGGGTGCTCACTCCTGCTCATGCCCTGTCTGGGGACAGAGTGGCTGGCTATTTGGGGGCTTCCCACTACCCTGGGGGATACCCCAGGACTGAGATTAGCTCTGCCCATGGGGGAGAGGCCTGGGAACCTTCCCTGAACCTCCCCCAACCCTGCCCTGTGCCCTGGTAGACCCTAGATGTCCACTCAGTATGCTGCCTTGCCTGTGCCTCAAAAGGCTGCCTGGCCCTCCTGCTGCTCTCTGTGACCTGCAGTATAGAAAATGAACAGGGAATTTGTGCCCTAAAAGCTCTTTTCAGAGGAAAATGCTCAGGTGTAGCGTGTGGGCCCCAGGGCCAGCTGGTCTGATCTGTTAGTGTTGACAGTGAATTCTCTGGCATGTATCCTCCTTGCTGGAACCACTCAGACTGGCCAAGAGTTCCAAAACAGTGTTCTGTTGTGGAGACAAGGGCCAGAGACGCAGCCTGCTGGGTGGGGATCAGCTTGGTGACATACGGAGGGTATTAGTTCTACCTCAAAGCCTTGAGGTAGGCCTAGCTTCATACAACTTTGGTGGCCATGATGCCGGGTGTTCCTTAAGCACATCAGCCTCATTTGATTCTTCTGTGTTTCCAAGACACTTGACAGTGGCTGCCACAAAGGGCCAGGCCCTGTGGCAGTGCGCTTCCTAAGCCAACCAGAATTCTGTGGTAACAGGCGAGAGGTGCAAGGAAGCAGGCAATGGTGGCTCTGGACAGGGCAGTGCTGGAGTGTCGCAGAGAAAGACAGAGCCGACCTGGGCCTTTGACAGCAGAGCTTTGAGGTGCTTAGAAGGCCACGCAGATGAAGCAGGCCCTCAGGAAGCCCGCCCCTCCCCTGAGTCCCATGCAGTGAGTGGCAAGAAGGTCCTGGGCAGCCCCTCTCCTGTCCACACTGAGCACCTTGCTTTATTTCAGGTTCTGGCCAATGAAGTTGGAGAAGATGTAAATATCCAGCAGCTCCTGGCCTCACCAGGGACCTGGAGGGGGAGGGCTCAACAAATTCTAGTTTTACAGAGTAAGGTGAGTGAGTCACCAGATGTCTCCTGGCCCTGAACAGAAGGCCTAAAATGCCCCCCAAAACACCGCCCTGACCCTCGTTAGAATCTGGAGCACACACCACCACCCCAGGCCTGTGGGTCAGAGCGTGCCCTTGCAGAGCCGAGGGCTTTGTATTCCCCTCCCCCTCCACACACACACACACACACACACACACACACACACACACACACACACACAGCCTGATTTTCATTTGTTAGTGCATGCGCATCACTTACATAATCCTTTTCACATGCCTGGTCCTGGCACTTAACCAGCAGTCTTGAGTTTGATTTCCTTCTCTGCAGGCATGTTTTTCCCAAGTTCGTGTAAATTTGCGTGACTGCTGTAATGGTAGGCTTTTTCCAGTTTCATCCCAGAGGCTCACAGTCCTTTGAAAGTTTTTGGTAACCAATAAAACAGCCTGGTCTCTCTTTTTGTTTTCTAAGTATTTTGGCACACACCAAAGGAAGTTAAAGCAGCAGCTCCAGAGCTGACTGTCTTGAGTTCAGATGCCAGCACTCCCTCACCACCTGTGGACTGGCACACAAATGACTGCCTCTGCCTCAGTTTCCACATCCGTATAGTGGGGATAACAGCAGCATCTGCTCCCCAACCCTTGGGCTATTGGCAGAAATGACTGTCAGCATGTGGGGGGGGGCAGGTGGAGGTCCTCAGCACAGTGCCATCTTGGAGGGAGCGCTGGACAGTGGTTAGCTAAGGCTTACCCCCCTTCCCCCCCCCCCCCCCCCGCCCCGCCTCATTTTGCCTTTAGACTGAGAAGCTCATGGAAGGTGTGTAGGTGTGTGGTTCCCTCAGTTCCTCGAGCATGCCGCCTGCATTCCCGGGCACCGGGCCCACACCCTCCTGCCTTTTTCCTTAGTATCTTTTATGAAATCCATGAAGCCAGCATGAAGGGGAACAGCCACCCAAAACTTTGGGGTCATAGAGGCATGAGTTTGAGTTTCCTCACCTTTAAGTGCCCAGCACATATCAGCTCAAAAAATCCACTACCACTATTATTAAGCTGAATGTTGGATGTTTTCACTGTCAAATACATTTTAATGTCCTTATCTGCCTCCATACCACCTTGAACATGCATGACCTCATCTGATTCTTGGGGTAAGAAACACACACTAGAGAGAAGACTGCCTGTAGCCTGGTGCTGGGAAAGATTAGATTCTTACCCTGTAAAATGTATCAGAGGCCTCAGGGTAAGACCTAAAACTCTGAAAATGCTCTGTGAAGAACAGACGGAGCCCAGGCCTGAGTGGGATCCGAAAGCTGGAGACACAGAGGCAGGAACTGATGGGGTCGGTCAGCAAATGAAAGAGCCCACAGAGTAAAGGCGTCTCTGCCAGTTGATGCTCTGAAGATTAATATTCAGAGTATATAAACAACTCAAAAACTTTAACAAAAGAACAAGTAACTCAGTTTCTAAAATGTAACATGATTTCCACATACACTCTGAAATGCAAGTGGTTAGCAAATGTATGTTTGTGTGTGTGCACACATGTACAGAAGCCAGAGTGGACATGAGGTGTTTCTCTCCACTGTACTGGGGAGTGTCTCCTGCTAGACCCAGAGCTGAAGGACTCAGCTAGTTTAGCTAGCCGGCCTGTCCCAGGCTCCCCTGTCCCTGTGTCTCAGGGCTGGGATTACAGGCAGGCACTATATCCACTGAGCCATCTCCCCGGCCCCCACAAATACATGTTTTAAATAGTCGACATCCTGAGCCTTAGGGAAATACAAGTCAAAACTGCATTAAGATTCCATCTTGTCTAGTTAGGAGCACAGTCATGAAGAAGACAACATATGCTGGTGAGGGCGTGGGAAAGGGGACATTAGACACTGCTGGGCACTGCACGTGGTGTAGCCACAAAACTGACGGTAGAGCCACGGTCTGACCTGGCTCTTCCACTCCTGGATACATACTCAGAGGTCCCAGAGACACCTGCTTACTGTGTGGTCTCAGTCTGGGTGCCCATCAGTACATAAAGTACAGGCTCAGTGCATGAAAGGAGGATGCAGCATGTATAAACTGGCATCTTAGCCAGAGAAAAAACAAAAGTGTGATATCTGCAGGAAAATGAATAGGATTTGAGACCATTATGTTAAGTAAAACAAGCCACAATCAGAGAAACAAATGTTTCATGTTTTGTCTCATAGAGGATTTTTAAAAAATGACCTGAAAGGTGGACAATAAAGAGAAGAAAACCAGGGGAGGGGAAGAGAGTGGGTATGATTCAGACAAGGTCACAAATGTAAGGAAGTGTCACAGAGAAACCCACTGTTTCATACAATTACTATGAGTTTTGAGATTTATAATAAAAATGAATATTTGATTTAAGAACAAAATCACCTGTGGCTTTTGTTAAAATATGGCTCCGGGCCTTTCCTGCCCCCGGAGCCCTGCATTTCGGTCTGGAGTGAACTCCAAGACTTGTCGTTCCAGGAGAACTTGGGGGGCTTGCTAGGCTCAGGTGGGTGCTGGGGTGCACTATGCAGAATGTACTTGAGGCAGAGGGTCCAGTAGCCTGGGCACAGTAACAAGGAAAACTTTTCTCGTTGACCCAGAATCCTCTCTTTTTCTAAACTAAACCTCTTGGACAGGTGCTTCTCCATTTGCAGATCTTCCCAGCCTGGGCCCAGCCTGGGCCACACCCCGGAAGAGTGGCTCCGTTTTCAGTCTGGCAGAATCTCCCAAGGCACCCAAGTGGCAGGACCCATGGTTGTGGACCTGTGGGACAGCCAGCTTTACTGTCCCCAGGTCCGAGAGCTTGAGAAGCAGCTGGGGCAGCGGCAGAACAAGACAGCGGCCTCCTCCAGCTCAGAGCTGCCTGTCAATCCAGACCCACGGAAGCTGACCGCACAAGAGAAAAACCTCCTGAGGATCCGCAGCCTGGAGAAGGACAAGCAGGAAAGCTGGGAGGTGAGGCGGCCCAGCCACGGGCTCCAGCACACAGCGGGGGGAGATCATAGCACCTACCGGGATGTGGCCATCCATCCCTACAGGCACAGACTTCCCCTTGTCAGCCAAGCTTGAGCTGCCTGGGTGGGGCCTCACTCTGTGTCCATTCAGTGAATGGTAGGTGGTGGGGCCATGGCAGTTTGAGGGGAGCTATACGTAAAGCTTCCTGTGAAGGAACTGTGTAATGCAGGGGTGTCGAGTGTCATCGTCATTGTCCCTGTTGGGGTAAAATGCCTGTCAAAAGCGATGTGAGGCAAGAAGGGCTGGCTTCAGCCTGCTGCTTGAGGTGAGTCCTTCCTGTCAGGGCAGGAAAGCATGGTGGCCAGAACAGGAAGCAGGGGAGATGAGTTGCTACTGTGTGGCTGGCTTCCTCCTTTTTTCCCCCTTTTTATTCAGTCTGGGACCTCACCTATGGAATGTACTACCCACATTCAGGGGGGGTCTTTTCTCCTCTGCAGACATCCTCACAGGCATGCCCAGAGCGTGTCTTCAAGGTGAAATCCAGACACCTTGACAGTGATGATGAGCCCTCACATTGGATCACACCCCCAATTGTGGAATATGGTGGGGCCTGAAGGAAGCCCTGACAAGCTCTGAAGAGGGTGGGTGGGCCAATGCTTCACCGCTGACTGGCAGACAGAGGCTTCCAACAGTGAGGCCTTCCATCCCCTCTTGCTGGGAAACTTCATCTGCCTGTGCCGGGGATGTCAGGGCCACACAGGCTCCTCCAGCCTTCTGCACTGTCGGGTATGAAGAGGGAAACAGGCCATCTGTAGGGTTGGGCACAGCTGGGTCCTGTTGAACCTTGTATGCCAGCATAATTACCAAGGCACTTTGAATTTGTGAAGAGACATGGTCCCCGACCTTCAGACAGGTAACATGGTTTGGGGGAAGGAGGTGGGACAGAGGGTGTGATAACCTGTCTTAGTTAGGATCTCTATCGCTGTGAAGAGACACCATGACCGTGGCAACTCTTATAAAGGAAAACATTTATTTAGGACTGGCTTACAGTTCAGAGGTTCAGTCCGTTATCAGCACAGTAGGAAGCATGGCGGCATGCAGGCAGACATGGTGCTGGAGAAGGAGCTCAGAGTTACACATTTGATCCACAGACAGCAGGAAGTGACTGTGATACACTGGCCAGGCCCACTCCCGAGTGACACACCTCCAACAAGGCCACACCTACTCCCACAGGGCCACACCCACTCCCACAGGGCCACACCAACTCCCACAGGGCCACACCCACTCCCACAGGGCCACACCTACTCCCACAGGCCACACCCACTCCCACAGGGCCACACCCACTCCCACAGGGCCACACCTCCTAACAGTGCCACTCCCTATGGCCAAGCACTCAAACACATGGGTCTGTGGGGCCATATCTATTCAAACCAACACGAGGCAGAGTGACAATCCTCCTGAGATGTGACAAGGACTAACACCAAGGTAGGAAACTAACAGTGACAGGCTGGACACATGGGATGTGGAGGGTGACTCTTGGGGCCCGGAGACTGATGGACAGAAAAGGGAGATGTGGGAAGAATTTAAAGGACTTGTAGCCTGTGTGTGAGGAAGAGGGGCTGAGATTAGGGATGCTGGTGTGACCTGCTCCTAGCTGTGGTACACGCTCTCCATAGGAAGATGTTTAGAAAGAACACCTGAGTCACAGTGGCCGTGGGAGGAGACAGGTCTAGGCCCATGTCCTCCTCTATCCAGGTAGTCCCAAGAGCCTGTGGAGCAACAGGCGAACAGTGTCCCGTGCCTGCCCAGAGCTGGGTAAGGCCACCACGTCCTACCATTCTTGTCTATGATCTTTAGCTAGGCTGACGTCTTTCCAGCGATAATGAATCCGAGAAGAAGCCATTTAGTGCCCCCACCCCCACCCCAGCGACTTGCTCTGTGAAGGACATAGCTAACCTGACTCTGCCCCTCTGTGAGCACACGCAGGACTTTTACTCTCCCAGCGGCTCCCACTTCTTCTCAGCGGCACCTCCTTAGGGAGTCCTCCTCTGACTGCCTTCTGCTCGTGTCCGCTCCCCACATCTCAGTCTGTCCTGTGCTTGGGAGTCACTCCCTAGGAACAGACGTCTGCGCTCTGCTTCACTTCTGCTTTGCCTCAGCACCCTCTCACCCGTCAGTCACACCTGTCAGTCACACCTGTCAGTCTCACCTGTCAGTCACACCTGTCACACCTGTCAGTCACACCTGTCAGTCATACCTGTCAGACACACCTGTCAGTCTCACCTGTCAGTCACACCTGTCAGTCACACCTGTCAGTCACACCTGTCAGTCACACCTGTCACACCTGTCAGTCACACCTGTCAGTCACACCCTCACACCCGTCACAGCGCACACAGTAAGCCCACAGGAAACGTGAGAACGAGCAATGAGTGGCTCTGAAAATGCGTGAAGCGTGTGAACATCCAGTTTATAGTGGACAGAGCCAGGAGCAGCATGCAGCGGGGATTCCCATCCTCA